GCCCCACGGCCGGGCCGCTGGCCCCACGACCGGGCCAGCCCCACGGCCAGGCCAACCCCACAGCCAGTCCAACCCCACAACCAGGCCAGCTCCACAGCCAGGCCAGCTCCACGGCCGGGCCGGCCCCATGGCCAGTCCAACCCCACAGCCAGGCCAACCCCATAGCCGGGCCGGCCCCAGGTCCAGGCCAACCCCATGGCCAGGCAGCCTCACGGCCAGTCCAATCCCACGGCCAGGCCAGCCTCACGTCCAGGCAGCCTCACGGCCAGTCCAATCCCACGGCCAGGCCAGCCTCACGTCCAGGCAGCCTCATGGCCAGTCCAACCCCATGGCCAGGCCAGCCTCATGTCCAGGCCAGCCCCACATCCATCTGCCTGTCACCCTCCAGTCTCTCTAAGTCTACGGTCCAGACACAGGCGCCAGGAGCAGGGAATTGAAAGGGGTGAGGGTGCAGCTCCCTCGGGGCAGGGCCGCAGGCCCACCCATGGCCTCTCCTCTCTGCCTGGCCAGGAGGACCAGCAGCAGTTGGCACCGCGAGGGAGGCTCCCCCACCCTGCGTGCAGCCCCGTGCACCCCCCACAGCCGCCGGGGTCCCTCACCACACAGCTCGAGGCTCCCCCACCCTGCGTGCAGCCCCGTGCACCCCCCCCCCAGCCGCCGGGGTCCCTCACCACACAGCTCGGATGCTGACTTTGAGGCCCGGGGTCAGATCCTCCGCCACAAACTCGCAGTTGCAGCTTTTGTTGTCCTCCACGATGTCCTCCCCGGGGAGACTTGCTTCTAGTTGGAAGGAAGGCAGACCATCAGAGGACCCCTCAGCCTGCGCGTGGGTCCCTGGAGTGTCCCCGGGGCGCCCTGCCTTCCCACAGGCCCTCTGTGGGACCCTCCTGGGTGTGGCCCTCCAGGAGTGGCCAGTGTGAGGGCTCGCGTGGGTGAGTGGATGGTGGCAGATTCAAATCACACATAGAAAGCAACTCCGCTACAGAGGAGATGCTGACCCACGCCACACGGAGGAGCCCACGCTGTGCCGGGTGAGAGTCCAGCCACGGTGCCCCTGCGCCCACGCTGCAGAGTGTCCCCACGTGACACGCACATTAGAGGAACCAGCGGCCAGGAGCAGGCGCTCTGGCCAGGGCCGGGGAGGGGAGCGTGACCGGTGGCAGCTCCGGTCTTCCCTTCCAGATCACGACAGCGTTCACACCGGGACAGCCGTGTGGCGGCAAGCACCATGGGTGCGGGAGACGCCACGGAATGGTGTGCTTTTAAAACGGTTCCTCTTACACAAGATTTTCCTAAAAACACAAGGAGCAGGGGCCTCCCAGCTCAGAGCGGCTTCCACCTTGCTCTGTGTTTGAGGGCCACCTCCCCTCTGGGCAGCCCCTGGCCCCAGGGCCCGCCGTGGGACGGCCAGGCCACGCCAGACCCACCTTCCGAGTTCTGGCGGGACGCCGCACCCTTGATGCGGAAGGCCTGCCGGGCCCGGCTGCGGTCACCGAAGCTCCAGCTCTTGGGCACCTTGCTGGGGCTGTCGTCCAGGCTCTGGTCAGCACTGGGAGAGCGCCGTACCGTCTGGGCCTGGGGAGACCCCTTCCCCTTGGCAGCCACTCCCCGGGGGCTGGAGAAGACACGATCTTTCAAACTGACCTTCTGACTGCTCCCGGGAGAAGCGATGGCAGACAGACAGACGCACACACAGACAGAAAAACAGCAAGAGAAGTCACTCTGGAAGGGACACAGGCTGTGTCTGTGCAGCGTGTCGACCCACAGGACAAGGGGGGACGCAGGTTCGAAGACCGGCCAGCCACGCGAGGGCTGGGCAGCGGCGGGAGCATCGGGCGGAGGGAGAGGCTCTGTGGTGCCCAGGACACTGAGGCCAACAGGTGACACTCGGGCGCCTCCAGACGCCCTGGCGCTGGCCTTTCCCAGAGGCTCTTGTCTGCATGGGCCTGGCCACTAGCATTCTCCGCCGGCCCTTCAGCTGTCACCAAGAGTGGCCTCCCTGCCCTCAGCCTCTCCCTCTGCTCCTGAGCAGAGGAGGTCATCATAGGCTGAAGCCTGTCCATCCATACTCTGGCCTTTCCAAGGAGGCCTGGAGCCTCCTGGACTCCACCGTGGGACCACGTGGCATCTGCCAGGCGTCAGCAGTCCACCGCACCTGCGCTCATCCGGGCAGCTGAACATGTCTGCCTCTGGAATGGCGGCAGGAACAAAGCCCCTCTGGGGCCAGGCCCCAGCGCTGGCCCCAGCGCTGGCCCCAGCGCTGGCCCAAGCCCTGGCCCCAGCCCTGGCCCCAGCGCTGGCCCAAGCAAGCGCTGGCCTTGGGGGCCGGGGGAGGAGGTGGTGGCCACAGCGACAGGACGGTGGTCAGGCCCCACTGTATGAGTGTGTGTGCGTGTGCGTTTTATTTATGGCAGTACTGGGAGCTGAACTCAAGGCCTTGCGTTTGCTGGGCAGCTACTCTACCCCTTGAGCCATGCTCCTGATCTTGTTTTTGCTTTAGTTATTTCTCAGGTACAGTGTTGAGTTTTTGACAAGGGCAGGTCTTGAACTTGGAATCCTCTGATCTAGGGCCCCTGTGTAGCTAGGATCGTGGTCTGCACCCCCGTTTGACCTCCTGCAAAGTTCTTTTCAGTCTGTTTCTCAGCTACCCAAGACACTGGGTCCCTCCCCGCCTCACTGCTGTTCATGAGGACCACGGGGTCTCCCCTCCCCCCCATCACTGCTGTCCGTGAGGACCGCGGGGTCCCCTCCCCCCCATCACTGCTGTTCATGAGGACCACGGGGTCTCCCCTCCCCCCCATCACTGCTGTCCGTGAGGACCGCGGGGTCCCCTCCCCCCCATCACTGCTGTCTGTGAGGACCGCGGGGTCCCCTTCCCCATCACTGCTGTCTGTGAGGACCGCGGGGTCCCCTCCCCCATCACTGCTGTCCGTGAGGACCACAGGGTCTCCCCCCATCACTGCTGTCTGTGAGGACCGCGGGGTCCCCTCCCCCCATCACTGCTGTCCGTGAGGACCACAGGGTCTCCCCCCATCACTGCTGTCCGTGAGGACCGCGGGGTCCCCTCCCATCACTGCTGTCCATGAGGACCGCGGGGTCCCCTCCCCCCATCACTGCTGTCCATGAGGACCGCAGGGTCCCCTCCCCCCATCACTGCTGTCCGTGAGGACCACAGGGTCTCCCCCCATCACTGCTGTCCGTGAGGACCGCGGGGTCCCCCCCATCACTGCTGTCCATGAGGACCGCGGGGTCCCCTCCCCCCATCACTGCTGTCCGTGAGGACCGCAGGGTCCCCTCCCCCCATCACTGCTGTCTGTGAGGACCGCGGGGTCCACTCCCCCCATCACTGCTGTCTGTGAGGACCGCGGGGTCCCCTCCCCCCATCACTGCTGTCTGTGAGGACCGCGGGGTCCCCTCCCCCCATCACTGCTGTCTGTGAGGACCGCGGGGTCCCCCCATCACTGCTGTCTGTGAGGACCGCGGGGTCCCCCCCATCACTGCTGTCCATGAGGACCACGGGGTCCCCCCCCATCACTGCTGTCCGTGAGGACCGCGGGGTCCCCCCATCACTGCTGTCCATGAGGACCGCGGGGTCCCCCCCATCACTGCTGTCCATGAGGACCGCGGGGTCCCCCCATCACTGCTGTCCGTGAGGACCGCGGGGTCCCCTCCCCCCATCACTGCTGTCTGTGAGGACCGCGGGGTCCCCCCCATCACTGCTGTCTGTGAGGACCGCAGGGTCCCCTCCCCCCATCACTGCTGTCCGTGAGGACCGCAGGGTCCCCCCCATCACTGCTGTCCATGAGGACCGCGGGGTCCCCCCCATCACTGCTGTCCGTGAGGACCGCGGGGTCCCCTCCCCCCATCACTGCTGTCCGTGAGGACCACGGGGTCCCCTCCCCCATCACTGCTGTCCGTGAGGACCGCAGGGTCCCCCCCATCACTGCTGTCCATGAGGACCGCGGGGTCCCCCCCATCACTGCTGTCTGTGAGGACCGCGGGGTCCCCTCCCCCCATCACTGCTGTCTGTGAGGACCGCGGGGTCTGGGTTTGCCCCCTCCAGGGGTCTCCAACAGGCACAGCCTTCACCTCTCCGTCTGGGACGTCTCAGGCGCTGGTCCAGGCCTGCTGCTTGCTCCCCCCTCTGGGGGCCCCACTATCATTCCCAAGGGAAACTGGCTCTGCGTGGGCCAGCCAGACTTCCCAGGTCAGCCCCAGCGCAAGGATCAAGAGGCCCCCACACGCAGTGACACCCACGGATGCCCAGATCCCTCTCCCAGCCCCTCCTGCCACGGCCCACAGGGACCCACAGCCAGACACGTACAACCGAGTGCCAGGGTGACCACCACAGTGAGGAGCCAGCACCACACCCTGCATGGCCTGGACACCCTGGCCATGGCCTGTGTGACCTGGACACGCCGGCCAGGGCCTGCACAGCCTGGACACCCCAACCGTGGCCCGCGCGGCCTGGACACGCCGACCGTGGCCTGCGTGGCCTGGACACCCAGGCCATGGCCTGCGTGGCCTGGACACCCCAGCCAGGGCCTGCGCGGCCTGGACACCCCGACCGTGGCCTGCGTGGCCTGGACACCCCAACCGTGGCCTGCACGGCCTGGACACCCCGACTGTGGCCTGCATGGCCTAGACACCCCGACCGTGGCCTGCACGGCCTGGACACCCCGACCGTGACCTGGACACCCCAACCGTGGCCTGGACACCCTGACCGAGGCCTGGACACCCTGACTGTGGCATGCGCGGCCTGGACACCCCGACCGTGGCCTGGACACCCCGACCGTGGCCTGCATGGCCTGGACACCCTGACCTGGGTCTGCGCGGCCTGGACACCCCGACCGTGGCCTGCGCGGCCTGGATACCCCGACTGTGGCCTGTGCGGCCTGGACACCCCGGCCAGGGCCTGCGCGGCCTGGACACCCTGACCGTGGCCAGTGCCCTTCCCCACCCCATCTTTAGGCAGCGGGAAACTTGGGAGACCATCTGTGCCTGCATATCAATACAGAGGAGGAAGAACAAGGCAGAAGCCACGGGGCCAGTGCTGGCCACGGGGCCACTTGGGAAGGGCGTGGTGACCGCCAGGCATCCTGTGAGCATCAAGGACCAGAGGCTCTGTTGGCCTCACGTCTACCTCCGTGCCCTGGCCCCACGGCCCCCTGGCCCCAGGCCTGGGCCTCTGTGCCCCCTGGAGACCAACCCTCTGGAGCCTGAGCTCCTCCGAGTCCACGTGGCCTCAACAGAGAATCTGGCTGGCACAGGGAGCATTGAACGTTGACACTACCTGAAATCAGCTGAGGACGGTGGTAACACCGGGGCCCACCCAGACTCATCCAGCTGAGGGAGACTCTGGCTTCTAGGACATTCCTCACTTCTCTCACAGACCCCTTCTCTAGCAGAGAGGCCACTGCAAACACAGGGAGGGAGGCCCCTCTGGGCCTCCCGGGGAGCACCTGGCCCTGGGAAGACCATCTTCCGCGGTCCCTCTGACTTGCACACACAAGGTTGGGAGACATAAGCAGCCCGAGAGCAGCCCTGGCTCAGTCCCAGCTGTGAGGATGCTGGGCGGGCGTCGGTCCAGCCTCCACCACAGCCAGCGTGTGGCCGCTGCGCTCAGCTTTCCCAGAAGCCTCACCGCTGGCAGTGGGCAGCCAGGGAGGCAGACACACAGCCAGACGCGTCTCCCACCACTCAGGGCCGAGCGCGGCGGGGAGCGTGGCCCCGGGCTGCCCGGAGAGGGGCTGGGCAGTCTGTGGGACCCTCCGGGTGAGGAACCCCAAGGCCAACCCCATCTCCCTCCTGGTGGTACTTCCTCCGGGTCTCTAAGTGCCAGTACAGAGGCCTCTCCAAGGCCTCCAGCCACATGCGTGACTGGGCCACGGCAGGGCCCCCCCTCAGTCTCAGCTCTGTGTCCCCAGCTCTTAACCCTGCTCCCACCCAGGCCCAGAGGAGGCCCTGCCCAGGGAGGCCCTGCAGAGGAGGCCCTGCCCAGGGAGGCCCTGCAGAGGAGGCCCTGCCCAGGGAGGCCCTGCAGAGGAGGGCCCTGCCCAGGGAGGCCCTGCAGAGGAGGCCCTGCCCAGGGAGGCCCTGCAGAGGAGGCCCTGCCCAGGGAGGCCCTGCAGAGGAGGCCCTGCTCAGGGAGGCCCTGCAGAGGAGGCAGGGCACAATGACAGGCCTTGGGCCCATTGGCCTTCCTCACCCCGGAGCCGGGACACCAGCAAGGATGGGGGGGCCTCCCTCACCTCACCACACAAACCAAGAAAAAAGCAAACCCAAAGAGGGGCTCTCAGGGGCTTCCTCCACTTACTCAGCAAGAGCTTGCGGCCAGACCCGACCCGTGTACAGAAGCTGTGGGTCAGGGGTCACTCAGGAACGGCCGGCAGAGCTCTGGCCTTTCCCCACTAGCAGCCTCCCCTGGCCCTGTGGGGAGACGGCCCCCGCCTGGCCAGCACACAGGCGCCCAGCTCAGCGGTGCAGGGGCTGGCATCCACAGGAAGCTGTCCAGCCTAACTGGGGACAGAGGACGCCCCGCAGAGCAAGGGGGCTCTCCATGAGAACGCACACAGCAGAGCCTCAACACTTCCACACGCTTCTGGTCCCAAGCAGCCTGACCCCATGCCCTGTCCCAAGGCCCAGCCCAGGGCCAGGAGCCGCCGGACACAGGGGTAAGCAGGTAGCTTCAGCCAGGGCTCAAGCCAGCCGCCGCCCCCACTGGAAGCTTCAAGAGCCTCCCATGCGTGCCCACTTCTGGGACACACGGAGAGCCAAGAGGCCCCCGGGCAGGGGGGACGATCCTGCAAGCCCCTCATCCAGGTGGGAAGGTCTGGAGCATGCACGGGTGCAGATGCACAAGCATGCTGCTCGTGCTGACCGGCCACATGCACACAATGGGGGCTCTTGCAGGTGGGCGCTGCAGCCGCCTGCTGCACTGGGCTGCGCTGGGCTGCGCTGGCCGGGAAGGGGAGGGCAGCACAGGGAAACAGGAGGCAGAGGCCCCGGAGCAAGCAGGAGAACAGAGGCCCTCACACACAGACAGCAGACGGGGGAGGGACAGGAAAGGTGTGGTCAAGGTGCAAGGGATGGGATGTCTCCGCCATCCTGTTTCCGGTCTGCCCTGAACCAAGCCTGCAAGTCACAAGTGGTAGCCATGGCTTCAGGCTTTTGGAGGTGGGGGGGGGGGGTGAAGAGCCCAGACCACAGGACGCAGCCTCTACAGTGAGGCAACCAGCTCAGGATTGGTCCTCAGTGCCTACTAGAGGCGCCAGACTGACCAGCCCAGGGCGGGGCCTCTCTCTGATGGGCATGGTCACTTCCACATCAGCGCCCTGACCACGGCAGGGCTCCGTGTGGAGGAGGGAGGCCAGGCGCCCGGGTCTGCCCTGTGCTCGGGGCACCAGGGGAGTCAGAGCTGGGCCGGTGCTGCCGTGGCTCGTCCCAACCTCCAATAAGCAGGGAGGGCAGGGGCGTGCAGCAAGGTCGGTCCGTGCGAGCGTTGCGTGGTACCTAGAGTGTCCCGGGCAGCATCCACACAGGCACCCTTGGCACGGTCTGCCTTTACTGGAAATGAGGAGAGCACAGTTAGTCCTGGGGAGGGCGGGGGAGAGAGCGGGACCAGAGAGCGGCACCGAGTCACGCAGCCCCGGCGGGGGGGGGGGGGGGGACAAGGACAGTGAGGCGGGTGCGGAAATCTTCAGCAGCCTGGAAGAGAAAACAGTCACCTATTTTTGGAGAAAAAGAATCCCCGTGGTTTTCCTCCAAAAATACCTTTTCCTTCCAAAGCCAGAGTTTGGGTCATGTCTTAAAAGATGTATTACTATTATTATTTCAATTTTTTTTTGTTGTATTCATGCCAACAAAAAAAAAACCTGCATGAGGTAAGACTTTAAAGGGCGAGGCTCATGGATAGACATGATCCCCCAAGTGGCCGCTCTGCAGCATGCGCGTTTTACAAAGGGGGAGATGTGCGGCCCAGCTTTACAAATCCACCAGCAAGGCTTCACCACGCCGGCCTGCGGCGGCCCAGTCCAAACACAGTGTACCCCTAATTCTAGGGAGCCCAGAAGAAGGGACATCTGGGCTCGAGGGATTTTCCCCAAGGCGGGGCCCTGAGCCTTGGCCTGTGATGAGTGGAAGCATAAGAGCCCGTCAAGGCCTGGAAGATGCTGCCTTCCCCAGAGCCCCACAGACCTCAGAGGCACACCCGCACTTCAAGAATAATCCTCCCTTTCCTTCAGGCTCCTCCCCGGCCCTTTCCAGCCAGCAGATAGCGTCCGAGGAGCCAAGCGTGCATGGCAACCGTCTCACAGCAGACACCACCGGGCCGGGGAAGAAGGCGCCCAACGTCTGCTCTCCTCCCACACTCGTTTAATGTCAGCCGACAGTCCCCGTTACTCCCTGTCCACACGCATCTCTCCGTCTGGGCCTGAAGGGCGCAGTCACCACCTCCAGTAAATGAACCTTCGGATGGCAAGACTCCTCAGAGTTCTCTGGTCTCTTCCCAAGCAAGGCCCTAAGCCTGCAAGCTCCGGCCCGCCAGTGAGCTCCAGCCCGCGGCCCCGGCCAGCAGTGAGCGCCAGTCTGCATCCCCTGCTAGGCTCAGTTTGCTAAAGACAAGCAGCTTTAGGTCACCTTGGGGTGCGGAGCTGAGGCCGCACTTGTGCGTGGCCAGCCCACCAGCAAAGCTCCTAGCCTTCTGGAGTTGGCCAGGGCAGCGGCACCTCCCACTTGCCCTCAGGGGCCCCAGGCCTACCTCCCCTGAACCTTCCCACCCCTAGGGAAGGAGGGGAGTCCTGTGGCCCAACCCAACTCTGCAGAGGGGAGATGTCCGAGGCTGCACGGTGGTGGCAGCCACCAGCCACGCAGGGCCACCGAGACAGGGCTGAGCTGTCCATTTGAATGAGCATGGTGGCAGCTAGTGGCCCCTGCGTGGGACAGCAGGGCTAGCCACAGCGGGCGAGGAGGGGGCCGCTGGCAGCAGCCCTCCCGGGACACTGTCCCGCTCAGGCTACCATGATGTGGTCTATTCCCTCTGAGCTCTAGGCCAGGCAGGGGCTGCCTGTGGAGGACAGATACCCTCAAGGATGCGGGCCCAGGCCAGGCGCGGGCAGGCACCAAACTATACAGAACGCCACCACCTGTGAAAAGAGAGGAGACCCACACAGACGGGAAGGCCAGAGCCAGGGTGTGAGGGCCTCGGAGTGGGGGCGGGAGGCAGAGGAAAGGCGTGGGACCACACGGGGCGGGTCACAAGAGACACGTCAGAGTAGCACAGCCTGAAGCCCAGCGCCCCGGGTCCCCACCCCAGGGCCCACAGGGCTCTCCCAACAGCTCCATCCCAGTCCCCCAGGGGTGCTGAGAGCCGAGCGCCCCCACTGGCCAGGGCTCACCCCCGCGTGTGAGCGCTACGCAGGGCACAGAGCCTCCTCTGAGCAGCACCTATGCACTGGGTGCCAACCAGGGGGTGCGTGCCGCACCGAGGGGGGCGGGGACGCCACCTCTGCCTCCTGGCAGCGGGTACAGACCCCGGGGAGGGGTGTCCTCACTCCCCCGGGACCCCGGTCCCCCTCCAGGAGCCTCACACCTGCCAGCCAGGTGTCCATGCTGAGGCCCTGGGAGCCCTCGGCTGAGCACGGTGGGGTCCCAGACCTGGTCAGTGGCAGTGGCCCTCGGGGAAGGGGACGGGAGGCACAGGCAGGCAGGGACCACCAACACGCGGGAAGGAGACGGAGGAGCGGCAAGGGGCGGAGCGGGGAGCCACGGAACATACCGGAGAGCCGGGCTCCCATGGTCCTCACCTGGAGTCCCACTTTCAGGGCCAGCACCTCATCCCAAAAGACAGAGCAGACGAGAAAGGGGCCGAGAAGGGCAGTGACAGTGATTAAAAGCACTTGGGGGCAGCAAGAGTTTCCAGATGGGGCAGGAGAGGGAGAGAGAGAGAGAGAGAG